CTTGTACAGTAGACGGTAAGGGACGCGTCTCGCAAGGAGAAAAAATAGCATTTTTGAGTGAAAATCGAGATTTGGGGGTCTTTATGAGCTTTATCGAAACAAAACTGACTTAGAAAAGGACTTCAAGTTCTAACTTCGATTTGATCTTTCCATTTTAACTTTGTTTAAATGACATCCAACATCGATCGATGTCATCCTTCACGTTTTTCTAGCAGACACACACCATCACGCCTGTGACAACACGACATGATACCTCGGACCTCTTTCGATCGACTCGAGAAAGAGTATCCACGATCGAAAATCGTGTAGCCTAGTAGAGTTAACCCTAGGAGAAACATTACCAACTGATTATATAGGTGATTTCGCTGCTCGAAAGGCTTTCTCTCACGCGCTTCTATCAGGCAACGCCCAGTTGATTATGCTCACTCAGAACTCAAAAACTGAGTCAGAATATTTAAATTTGACGTCTGAATCACGTTCTGGTGAGACTAGAATCAAATCTGTATTCTTAATCACGCTGGACAGGATAAAGTGCACCATAAAGGATGGGTTTGTGACAAGGAAACATAGCGGATGACTTCGGTTGATGTTCACTATTGTTTAAATCAGCTCAAAATGGAAAGAGCGAATCGAAATTGGTACTCATAGTTCTTTTCTAGGTCATTTATATTCATTTAGGCGAGAAAAGACCCCCAAAACACGGTTTTCACCTAAAAATGCTATTTTTCCTTATTGAGGGAGGCGTCCCATAGAGTCCAATTTATCCGCGACGAGGCCATATTACACGAAAAACATCTCTCATGCGGTTGCTGAGATGTTGAACACACTTTTCTGCATGATCTGACCACACAGTTCCATGTTCCGAGAAATGGCTCCAGAGCTCGAATTTTTCCGCTAGAAGGACTATCCAATTTTATCACCAAAAATGTTTTTCAATAGTGTGTGATCGTTTCCACATAGCAGGACTGCTCAGGAAAATTTTTTCCAAAAAGTGTTTGGGTCTCCATGGATCCAACCATTACAAAGATGCTCAAGAGACGTTCCACAAGAAAATCGAAGGATACAACGCACAATAGAGTGGGTCATCCAAACTCCATCATACTTTTAGAATACTGAGGGTAAAATCTTAGCATCTTGACTAGCGAGATCAGAGGGAGCAACTTTTTGGATCCCACAACAGAGCAAATATTTCTCTATCGATTTCCGTATCCTCACTTTGAAAAGGATCATGAATTCATGATTGGGAGGTACTAAAGTAGGACTAATTTTGACTTTTCTCGTTCCGTTCTCTTTTTGATTCCATCAATGTAGCCATTTCTCTCTGAGTGCCATTATTTCTAGGAAAAAACATGCGTATACTGAGAAAAAATCTGTGTCTTGCACGAAAAGCTTTGACGGTTTTTGTTCTCGCGTACATGGTCCTGTTCCTCACAACGAGCTCTATCGTTTAATATCAGTTTCATGGCTTTCCAACAGCGATTTCACTTTTTTTCGCATGACAATACCAAAATGGTGTGATGGAATAATCTCGCACATCTATATTCCATCACCCCAACTATTTCTCCTTCCCAATTCAATTACGTAATGAAAAACGCATGGAGATTCTTTGGCAGACAGAGAAAAAGATCTCGGCTCTAGTTGAAGTACGGAGTTCGCATCTTTGACTGATAGCAAAGATGCAGTCCGGGCCAAGAACTATCCATTCCTGTACTTTCAGTTTTTCGTCAGTATTTCTTGACAATTGAAAATAAGTCTTCTATCGATCGATAGAGTTCAAAGCTCTACAGAAATAAACATGCAGCTTTCTCCCGGACTTCATAATGAGCCGAGAAAATCAAAATACTACAGTTTTCGTAATATCTCTTACACCTCATTTCCCCAATATTTGGCCTAAATTAGGGCTGGCGCTTTTCTTTAAAAAAATGAAATCGATACCGTTTGTGTTTTTCTAAAACAAAAATCAAAGTTTTGCACCAGAGCTGATTTGTGGTCTCACCCATCCCATCCATTTCCCGTGCGTCTAGCCATTCGAATAGAATCGAACACCTTTATATACACAGGAGAGAAGAACATTATATCACCTCTGATATATTAATCAAGCTCGATCAGGCACAACATTGTCGAGAGAATGATTACAAATTACATGACTGTTTAGCTTTGAACTGTTATGCATAGGATATACGTGATGGGTCAGCCAATATCTACACTGTGCAATTGTGTTTGTAATCAAACGTGCTCTAAACCATCTCAAAGAGTGTCCTCTCTACGTAATAAAGCCGAAGTGAATTCGTCGGTCCTGTCCGCGCCTCTTACACGTTGTATTTATCATTTCGATATATGGACACCATCCAATCATGACAAAAATTTAATTCTTGTCTGGTTAGATGAGCAAATGGATATCGATTTAGAAAATACGGCTCAAATGAAAATGTTTTTGCAAAGAATCAACGAACAGACGCTATTATTTTCAAGTCGAGCTCGGTTTGTGGAATTTTTGGAGACATTAACAAATGAATCGATATTTCTCATTATATCTGGGCAATTTTCCATCGACTTATTACCATTTGTAAATAGCAAAGAGCAAATTCATGCATTATATATATTTTGTATCCAAGACGATCATTACAAAAGCTTGATCAATGATTATTCAAAACTGCGGCGTGTGAGCAATCATCATGTAGAACTTCTTCTTGAAATACAGAAAGACATCAGTATCTATAAGAAACAAGCAATAAAATTCAATTCATTGAGTAAAAGTGAGCAAAACTCGATTACTGATCTCTCTCCAGAATCCGCCTTATTTTTCTGGAGTTATTTACTTAAAGACATTTTGATCAATACTGATAAAAGAGATGATGCAAAAGAAGTTATGCTCGCTTATTGTCGTTTACAATGCGAATCAGATAATACCTTGCAAGCCCAAATTGATGAATTTGAAAAATGTTATCAGTCGAACGATGCGATCCAATGGTACACAAAAGATTCATTCGTCCACAGATTAGTGAATCAATCAATTAAAGCAGAAAATATCAATGCACTATTACATCTAAAATTTTTCATCACAGATCTTTCTACTTGCTTAAAATTGAAATGGAAACCGGACTATATTCAAAGGTCCCATGGATTCGTAAAAACCTACCGAGGTGCACAGCTAACAAATGCAGAAATAGAGAAGCTGAAACCTGATAGTCTGATAACACCAAATGGCTATTTGTCTACAAGTGAATCATTGGAAACGGCCAGCATATATGCAGGCAATACACTCTTTGAGATTGACATTGATCCCCTGGTAGAAAATTTAATATTTGCTAACATTGCTGAGTATAGTAACTTTCCGCAAGAGCAAGAAATACTTTCCGACATGGGATGTATATTTAGAATTGTTAGTGTAGTCTATGATGAACTTAATCAACGATCGGTCGTCAAAATGATTGGTGTAAATGAAGCCGAACAACTCGCCAGTGATTTTATCGAAAGAATAAAACATAGAAAGAAAACCAATGGATATTTTAATGGTTTACTCAATGATTTTGTCGATATAATCGGCTATGAGCGAGGCATTAGTCTTTACGAATATTTTTTAAGACTCCCAACAGTTGGCGTACAGAACGTTATCAACAATTGCTCTAGATCTATCCATTTATATGAAAAATGTTGTGATGCTTCAAATGTTGCTATCCTATACGGTTGTTTCGGATGGTTTTTTACACAAAGAGCAGAATATGATTTGGCCATTGAATACTGTACTCGAGCTTTATCATTAGTAGGAAGTGAGTCACCGAATGCCAATATGGTCATTGAAATTGCCATGATTCATAATACGATCGGTTGGAGCTATTACGAGAAAGGAGACTATGATCCTGCCATATCCTGGTGTCAGAAAGCGAGAAAGATATTCAAATCATGTCCGTACGTTGAAGATTCGAAATATGTCAAAGTTCTACGATCAGAACAAAATTTGAAAAAATCTCCGTCACGTAACGATGTGGAATATGCCGAAATTCTTACTAATATCGGATGCATCTCTTGCAAAAAGAAAGAGTTCGAGCTGGCATTATTTTACTGTGAAAAATCAATGAGCATACTCCAAAGATGTGACCATGAAACAATATTCGATAGAGACCGCGAAGTGGCGGCAGCATCCACTAATGAAATTGATAATCATCATGAAACGATTGCAGCTAATTATGAAGTTTTTGCCGATGTCTGTTTTAAGAAGGAGAACTATGTTCTTGCACTCGAATATTATGAAAAAGCGCAAGTTATTTTTGAAACGATAACGCCACGAATACCGATCTGTCTGCAACGATCACCAGCTATTTTTGGTCGGATGAAGCAACGTTTACAAAATTCGATCCAAATCATAGAAAGATTGCTCGTTGCCACCAATCGAAAGAATACTTGACAGCGAGGAAGAGAGAGAGAGAGAGACCATCTTTTAAACATTATTTCGACACCAATGAGTCGACTCATAAAAATGAGTGTGCCCCAGTTTCGTGTCAAACTTTTCTTGGGTTCTAGAACGATTCAGTCAAACAAAAAAACAAGAGAGAGATGTTATTTCTTTACTTCTCTACAAAATAACTCCAGCCATTTTCGTTTCTATTTGAAGCAGCAAGTTTGTTTTCAATTGTATTGATGAAATTTACGTATCATAGATCAAGAGGTCAATGAGGATCTGGATAACACATAACGTGCTTTCTAGATGAGGAAGAACCTGGCCATATAATGATATTCAACACGATGATTATCATATTCATCGGAGACTGGGCGTTTGAAGGATTCTCGTAAGGCGGTCGGTCTCTCCTTGGTTGGTGCTTGTTTTTCTGTTTCTGTTAGAGATCGTCTTGCATTAATTTATTTGCAAGCAGATGAAAGGTGGATGAGAGTGTGAAGATTCATGATTTTACCTTTGATGACCAATTTGTTTCGCATGTCATCGAGCCGTTTGTGCAGCTGACGGTTAGATTCAAGGTTGATGCTCGCGTAAATTTTCGCTACCTTCTTCATTAGATTAATTACCTCGCTACTCATTGTGACTTGTAACCTGAAATAAATAAGTTAACATTTTTCATTACTTGGTAATAGTTTTATGATTTAACTATATTCTTCTTTCTTGTCTGAATAATGTTGTTTTGATTGGTATTCCTTGATTATGACTGAAATAGAAGACCCCGGATCTTCTAATATGTCGTAGCATAAAAAAATTTCAGAGAGGTCTTCTAATATGTCCTCGGTTTTTCTAAGGATTTTGCTTGAAAACTTTTTTGACGAAAAAAGACACTTTTTCAACGTTTTCAAAGGCTTCGAAAGCGTTTATTAGTGTTTAAACCACTTGGGAAGCATTTTGGGCTTTGTTCGATGAACATTCCAGCTCCAAATCACACAAATTAGACAGCTTCATGTGAAAAACTTAAATAATAATCTAATTATTTTTGAAAACTAGCCAATTTTAGGGAAGTGTTGTATTACGCCCGCCACGAACTTTTCCCGATGGGGTCTTCTAATATAGGGGGGTCTTCTAATCCGAGAGGGTCTTCTGTTTCCGGAGGGGGTTGACCAGAAGTAATAATATGGTTCGTACCACGAAGAGAAAGAAGTCTCTTATTTTTTCGTTAGTTAACCTTAATGCGGCGCCCATGCGACAGTCTTCTAGCGGTAATCGACCTTATCGTTCGACCAGAATGCCGATCTTTAGTGAGGGACTTTGAAGGTAAAAACCGCAACTGCTTGAATGCATATCAAACATCGAGTAAGAATGAATTTTAATCGTCTACTTACGTTTTAAATGAATGAATCAGTGTAACCGTGTTTTAGCTTCGGTATCATCTGATTGATGGAAACTCACTCCAAAAAAGATGGAAGGCACCTATGAACGAAGTGAAGAAAAACTTTTTTATTACGCATTTTCTTAATTCCTTTAACGGACAAGAACATAGTTGCGGTAATGATGGTAATTCTAGGCGCGATAGATACACCAAACCACTCTCAGCAGAATGCTCTATAGAGATTGTTGTTTTTCTTGAATATATACTCCTGATAGAAATATCATTCACCATCGACTGAAGATCTGCCTTGCAACCGCCATTGACCAACTCCTGCTCTCCACCTTTGCATCGGCTCTCCTATGGATGACCTATCCTCTTCGTGTAGAAGCCGTTTCCAATAAAGAGAAGGGACGATTCCGAATGTGCAGATAATATAAGAAACCAAGGGGGGAAAAGCAGATCCTCGGATCCTGTGGATCCCCGTGGATCCCCGTGGATCCCCGTGGATCCTCATACACTTTTCTGCATCGACATGAATTACAGTGATGTTGTCGAGCATTCTCAATTGTCAATCTTCAATTTGAAGAAAATCGATGGATCCTCATGGATCCAGGATCTGCTTTTTCCCCCTTGTAAGAAACCATCCTGTTGAAAAGGCATAGGCAGTCACGTTCACAATGCGTCACGCGCCTATTGTATAATTATTACCTATGCATACGAGTCGACTTGGAATTTCGAGGGGAGAGACTAGCTACTGCATTTCTTTTTGCAAATCTTACATGAATGTGACAAGTATTTAAAAAACGGTAGAGTAAAAGAACAAAACTAAAGAAGAAGAAGCTGTGCGAACAGATCCAATCACGAGCGGGAGGTCATCCTTATTCAAATCACTGTTGGTTCACTAACAACCGAAAATTGTAGATTATTATTGTTTAAACCTTGTTTGATCAGAATGAGAACATCACTGAATTCAACATTCTCCACATCGATGACATTCACACCGACGATTCGATCATTTCGACGGAGGCCAGCTCGATAGGCAGGTGAAGCGGGTTCGACATCCCGAATACTGTGATGTAAACGTGTGTCCGCATCGGCAGAAAGCAGAAATCAAGATACCCAGACCATCGTACGAATCAGTTCGCTTCAGTGTGTAATGACGAGGGACAGCTTGATACGTCTCAGCAGGAGATATTTTATTCTGAGGCTCTAGAATGTAGAGAAAGGACATAATTACATGAATGGGAGAGGAGAGAAAGAGAGAGAGAGGTAGGCTTCTCAAAACACTCGACATTCTTGGCATAGTTGTGTGCCTGGATAGAACAAGATGCATTCTGGTGCAAAAGAAATCGAATTTTGAATGAGGTGCATATATGTATGTTTATATTCAGAGAAATAGATAAATGTATCAAAGCAAACAAAGATATCTTCTGCTGTTCTTTCCATCATAAGTACACTAGGTTGTTACCCTGCATGTATTCAGTCTCTTTCCATAGAGGAAGCATTCGGTCGCGTTCGATCATCGACGAGGCGAAACTCGGTGTTTTCTCTACAAAAAAAGAGATCCGACGTCCCAGAGCATTCGTCCAGAAGATGCCTTACTAACAGATTGACGCGTTCATAGGCATATTGCTGACCAGTACTGAATCTCTCTTCGTACCGATAATCTCGCTCGTTCGTCTGATAGCGAGCACGAAGCGATTCATCTCGGACGTTCGATGGTACTTCTTGATGGACGAGACGATCGACTTGGAAGCCGCTCGAAGGCCGAGAATACGATCTGGTCTGATCATCGTCGATATTGCCGTCTCGTACGCTCCAGGTACGGATTTCTCCACCGTTGACATACTGATGTTTGTCTTTGGTGAAGATGGTCGTCGAACTCCGATAGATCACTGGACGCTCAGGAGGCGATCGACTGCGTTGATCATCGGATGAATACGATGGTCTCGGAGGAGTGAGAGGCCTAATGTAACCATCGTGAGAATGAGTAGGAGAGATCGACGACGATGGCCGTTGTTCGCGCGTGTCCATGGTCGTCGTCGATGCTTCGAAACGAGGTGGTCGTTCAGCATTGTTGACCGCCGGCGAGGGATACGTCTCACGTCGATGAGAATTCTCGTGAACAGATATTGGACGTGCTCAGAAGTGACGGGAGGAACTATTGGTGGAGGTGCCTCGTCAGGAGTGCGAAGCTCGAGCCGGTCCACTGTAGTGTCCGTCCCAGGCGATGTCGGTTGATCTTCGTTCTTCACTTGAGCAGAATCGAGAAACTTCTGTCGACTTTCCATCGCTTTCTGGGCACGGCCGGCTGGATACTTTTTCCACGCCCTTTTCTCATCTCCTCACGTTCCGTATCTTTCTTAATCACCAGATCATCCTATTCACAAACAAGACTGCAAAACTGATTAGGATAATAGAACTGACGTACTCCTTTGTCCGCATCACACACCACGCGTGGTGTTCAATGAGGTTTGCTGAGGTCGATTGCTTTTCCGGCGGTTGATATGCCGGTCGTCGGAAGAGAGGGTATCGGTGTTCGATTCCTGCCACTGGTTTTGACCCTACTAATCGGTGCGGGTGCACACATGGTGGAAGGACCGAGACGTTTCTCAACGACGATCTCGTCCGGTGTCGGTACGGAGGTTTGCCGATTGAAGACTGGAGTAGAGGATGGAGAGTGTGTGCGTCTGAGAGAGAAATCTGAGGCTCACCTTTCAATTCGTTCTTCTCGTGTTCTCTCTCCTGCTCAACGAACTTCCAGTGACTGAGGGTCATTGACCACGAGTGATGCAACAGAGTGACTTGAATGAAGTATCTATGGCTCTGTCGAAGAGATGAAGAGGATCGAATTGGGTAGGACGACACTCCTTACCGTTTCTTCACCCTCGATGGAGTCTATGATCGATTGACTGACTGATCTCTAAAAGAAAACAGCATTCAAAGTTCATCTCGTGGCGAACGCTCACCGCTCTGTGTTCACTATCCAATCGTTCCCACTCCAATCGACCGATCAGTTCGTTGTGACTTCCTCGTCGAGTGTGATGCGAATCTTTCTTCCGTGTCCCAGCACCTCCGCCTCTGGACGTTGATCTCGGTGAAGGTTCTACTGGCACAGCACCAGTACTAGTGCGCATGAAGAGAACGGCTGGTAGAACCACCGATCCTTTTCCCTCCACATGAACCAGCTCTTCGTTGCCGTCGAATACCGCCAGACGCATCAGGACATCGGGATTGGAGGTGCTGAAGTGAAGACTGGCCAGATGAAAGGGTCGGCTCGTTGCATGAAGACCGTCGGCCACTTGAACTCGACATCTGCGAACGACGTGCACTGGGGAGAGACGATCGGAGATCTTCGTGGTCTTACCTGCATATCGTCTGCTGTGGATTAGGAAGATAATAGTCGCTGATCTCTCGCGAATTGAATGAGGAAGTGAGCTGATCATCTCGTGGTTCGGGCAGCCGAGCGTAGGAGGTTAACAAGCGCAGACGATAATGACCGTGCGCAGTGCTTTGATCGTGTGACTGGCCTTGCGCCACAAACGTGTACCCGAACTAGTCAGACTTCGTTTCTTCGCAGCGTAGAAGACGAAGAGCATGTACTTTGTTTTTACTGAAGGTAGCCGGTACTAATCGATTGAAGGCCAGGGGCATTTCCTCGTAGTTATCGTTGTTGATCACGTGAAGGAGGGAATTCGGTAAATGGCAAAGGAATTTCGTCGCCACGAAACTCTCCTCAGGGACATAGAAGACTTCTCTAGAGAGATCAGGACAACGTGGTGTGATCAAGAGCAGAGAAGAATCTACCGGAACAGAATGAACCAGGTATTTGTTGCTGGTTCTTGATAGGTGCCATGGAAATCTCGATAGGAGACCATGTTCCAGTCATCGTGATCGAAGGGGAAGCAATGCCTAACGGTGGGTAGAGTGGCGAAGCATTCTCTATTGGAAAGTCGTGACGATCGTTCGGAGAGAGAACGAGTCTTACTTGAAGAGCAACAGAGCTGATTTCGTTGGATCTCTTTTGAGAATGTTCATGTTCAAGCGGAGAATCTGTTCGGTGTGAAGGCTTCTCTCGGTTCCTGGCCTTCGAGCCGATGAAACTCGACGTCGGAGGAATCTCCGCGCTCCTCTCTGAATTCTCTTCCGTGCCTCGATCTCACTGGGTTTCCAGTCATGGTTGAGCCAATCGTACGGCACTTCTCCTAGACCGATGTGTTCTCAATACCATCGACGAAGGAGACGTCACTCACCAGGCACTTTGGCAGTCACCGGCGTATGTGTCGGTGCTCCGGGCTGTCTGATTCGTCTACTCGAACTCGCTGTTGTCGAGGGTCCACTTGTACGTGTTGGACGACGAGGGACAACTGGCACACCTGTCGAAAGAGAGCTAGACCACGGACGGGTCTCGATGAAATGGCTCACTGGGTCTCCGGGTGACGTAAGCACCCAGAATATTCGGGGTGACGAGATCATTGGTAAAGCATCGCCAAGCGAAGTACACATCTGAGTTGATCACTGGTTCCGAGACGTTCGTCAGGGCGCGTAAGGTAGCGAACAGCGCCTGATGGAAGTAACGGGTCACAGTGGGCATACAGCCAGACATTAGGCAGAAAATCGAAGTTTTTCCTTTTTCAGATAGAAATAGGGCAAAATGTAGCTCTTTCAAAGGGCTATCGAACGGTATATAAATGTCTATTGTGAAAATGGATCCTTCGACCAGAAAATAGTATACAAAAAACATGAACAAATACGACATCTATACACAAAAATACGATTTTTCACTTTCACAGCTATGTTATG